ATTTGCATGTTGTTACTTAGAAGACACAGTTTGCCATCTCTGTGCTTGGAAGGACATGACAAACAAGCTCCAAGCTGGTTGTGCATCCTGTACCCTCATCCCAGTACAATTCCACCCCCACCAGCAATTCCAGCTCAGGTAGAGCCTGGTGAGCCAGAGGCTGGCTCAGAGCAGCATTGACTCCCAGGTCCACAACCCAAACCTTCTCCCCCATCCCCTCACCTTGCCATCTTCATGATAGACAAAGATGTTCCTTGTGCTATTGTCCTTCAAGTAAGTGATCTGCAGTCCATGTGGGTTCCCAATTTTTGCAGGCTGGAAAGTCGCGTTTAGGTGTTCAATCTTCATAATTGCTTTGGGTTCTTTTGCCTGGAAAACACAGCTGAGTGAGCAAACACCTGAGAATTGGCTTTCAAACCAGAAAGCAGTTCACTTGGTCAGAAAAAAACCTCCTGATTGAGGCCATTAGCTAAAAAGACCTGACTCCCAGCCCACAGAACTACCTGGTGATGAGATAGCAGAGATTTTGTTCGGGTGTCACTGAGTATTTTCTGCCAGCTTGGAAAAATGCTCTGTTCTTCTGCAGAGATGCAATAAAACCAAGGCAGACTGCTAACTGACAGTCCAGGATGCTTTCTGCATCTCCAGCACCCACAGCAGTTCATCCTTGTCCCAAAAGTGGAGGATTATCCCCCTTGACAACTTCAGACCTGGGTGCTTGGCTGACAGGGGCACCATGTCCATGTCCCCACTAGTCCCATCCTCTCACATTAGCCACTGGCTGCTGGCTGTGCTCCTCCCCTTGCCTTTTAAACTTTTTCAGAGGGACAAATACAATCCTTACAGCCCATCTCCTGGGTGGGAGGCTGGGCCAGGCCCTCCCAGGCACCAGCCCCACCTGCCCCCTGTGTGCAGGTCACTTCAACATCATAGCACAGTTCATTTTCTTACATATCTCTAGAAGTTTACCATCCTTCAGGACTGCACTGAGAATTGTGAGCAAAACATCCCAACAAATAAAGATCAGGCACTTGGTGACACCAGTTTGTACTGGTAACAGCAGTTAAGTATCATCAGTGGTGCCATGGTCCCCAGCACCATGTAGAAGTCCTGAGACAAAGTTCCAGTTTGGGAACCATAGACACACAGCCATTGTGGGTGACTATGATAGGGAAAACCCAGCCAGGAGGACTTGTCTAGACAGTGCCATTCCCACCACAGTTGTGGTCAGTGATGAAGCAAAGCACCTTTAAACTATCAGAGCAGTCAAGAGTGACTGAATGTGGCTGCTGGGACTTTCACTTCTCTCTCAGAAAGGATTGAGTCCCTCTCCACGAGAAGCAATTGCACCACGACACACCAAGCTGAAGGAGAAGATGGTGCTGTCAAAGCCATGGAGAAGTGTGGATGAATGTTCCCCTCCTGCATGACATGACTCATCAGGACACCACAATTGCATCAGCTGGTTTAGAAAACTGGCTGGTGGCTTGGCCTGGGCTGTTCTCAGCTGTGATGCATAGGGCAGACTCAAAGGTCAGAAAAACCACCTTGGCTCCCCCAGGATGTAGTGCAGAACAGTGGAGCATCCATCCATCCATCATGAATGCAATTGTCATGGTAATCGCTCCATTTCTCACTTACAATAATGAAATGTGCTCTGGGGAAAAAGACAAATGCTTCCTCACTGCTTGAAGCTGGAACAAAAAAACAGGGAGATTTCCCTCTGGAATACATGGTGTGTCATCTGAAGGAGAATTTGGACCCCTGTGGTGAGGGCAGGTCAGCTGAGGTGCTGATACCTTCATCACAAGCTAGTCATCAATATGAAACCCACAACAGCTGGATGGTGCAGAGCCAGAGCTGAGAGAAACCAGGTTGGCTAAAGCCTTGAGCAACCTGCTCTGGTGGGAGGTGTCCCTGCCCAGGGCAGGGGGTTGGGGCTGGATGATCTCTGAAGTCCATTCCAACTCCTTAACATGCTATGATACTATGAAACTCCTTCACTGGTGGTGTAAGAAAAGCCTTACAGGCTCTAAAGGGCAACAGAGCAGGAATATGTGAACTGGCCAGTTGGGGCATCTCACCATGACTGCGGTGGTGGAGCAGAAGCAAACCCTACTAGAGAGAGAGCAGTGAGCTGTACCAGGTGTGCTCTCATCCTGGAACAACTGGGGACTCAGTGCTTATGGAAACTGCACCAATAACCTGGTGGCCTGTGAATTAAGTGCTCAAAGATGCTCTTACAGCTACAACCACCTGTCTGCACAGAGCAACCCCAGGTACTCACGTCATTTTTGTTGAAGTACTTCAGTGCCCCTTCCCTCTCCGACAACACGAACTTTCGACTCAAGAACTGCCCATTGTCACGTCCTCTCTTCCACAGGAAACCTTCTCGGTACCCTGCAGCACAAAGGGATGGCTGAGAACCAGGACAAAACTCTGCACTGAATAAAGAGTTAGGGTGAAGGCAAGGGGAAGAGCTTTGCCTTCAGAACTAGCAAACCGAGTGTGTGGCTGTTTTGCTCAAGAGATGAATGACACAGGACTTCTCCTTCAGATTTGTCCTTCTCACTCTGCTCTTTTCTTTTCTGACAGCTTATGCTACAGATGTCCTTGCTCTGGCACTCAGTGTGGCAGCCAAGGGGGTGTCTGCCATGTAGCCCATGCTGAAATGCAGGTGAAGGCCTGAGGAGCAAAGCTGTGCCCCTGCTGCAGCTCCCAGCACCAGGGATGCTGCTCAGCTTACACAAGTAGCACTTTTGGAGAGAGGGAAAGGCAGGTGAGCTCTGCCCTCCTCTGCTGATGCTGCTAAAAATGAAACCAGGAGGTGCAGGCACAGGGAAAATGGTTCAGGGCAGGTGTATGGATCAGGGTATCCACAAATACATTTTTCACAGGGAAAAAGGGGAAAACGTTTGCAGAAAAAGAGGAGAAAAAGCATCTAAAAAATTTAACTCCTCAAATCAGGACAGCAGTTACCACTGGTCACATCTAGCACCTTCTGCAGCAGCCACAGCACTCAGCTGACCTCACAAGTTTAATTCATGCCCTTATTTTAAATTCTTCAAAACAAAGAAACCCCAAGAACTGTTTACTACAGGTTTGTGAATACTAACAGAGCAGTTTGATGGTCATCTGCCACTTAGCTAAGATCTAATTAAGATTTAATTATACAAAAAGTCCCACTGAAATAGTGTTCCCTTTCCTGGTTTCATCACTTTTTGATTTTTGGTACTCAGGAGAAGGATTTTAAACTTAGAAATTACATGGTTTGTAACAACTTTCAAATAGTAGCTAAACTTTTCAATATGCCAAGTGGCACATTGAATTCTCTCCTTTGCCCATCAGTGCTGTGCAGAAATTCCTCCTTCAACCTGCTTTTCACTTGTCCATCCTGACACAGGATTGATTCAAACCACAGGTGAAAAGATGCAGAAAAGGTTTTTGCAGCAAAAAGTCCCATTGGAGAGCACTTGTTGTGTCAGAAAGAGGGAGCAGGACTACCCCAAATCTGAGTGAGGAGAAGCAGCCAAGGAAGCACCAAAGTCCAGCCAAGGGCAGCTGCATCTGACAGCAGTGCAGGAACAGCCCAGGATGCTGCACTCATCTCACCATTGTGATGGAACCAGCAGAGAACCAAAGCTCTGACTGATCCAGAGTCAGATGCTGCTCCCAGGCTCTGTCAGCAAACCCACGACATCCCCCGTGGCAGCTGTACATGATGGAGCTGGATAGGAATAATGTCTCTGTGACAGGAGACAGACAGGCAGGAGGTGATGCCCAGCTGATACGTTTATAGAATGCACAATTTGCTTAACACAAGGCAGAGCTGCTGCTGAGGCTCTGACAGCTGGAGATGGCCCAGTGCTCTCCTGAATGGCACCACGTGAAGCAGCTGCTCTCAAAGGCAAGGACAGGAGGTTTCTGCTCCTGAAGGGTGTTGGGTTTTAGTGCCAAGCCAGTTAGAGCAGTGGGAGAGTACTTCAAAAGTCACTGCTATTCACTCCACTGAGCTGCAGAGACAGTTTGAGAGCCTCTCCATCCCCTCTCTGTGCCTGCTGTTTGGGGAACACCGACATCTCATAGGGGGCTGGAGAGAGCTGGGCTTGGAGGAGAGGACATCAGCATTAAACAAGAGAGAGGAGAGACAACATGAGGCCAGGACATCTCCAAATGCAAACATGGGCTGATGCAGAAGGAAAACACATCTTTTCCTCAGGAATCCCCACCTGGGGTTTGCTTGGCTCAGCAGAGCCCACAGAGCTCAGCTCTTGGTGGCTCCACCTGGGAGCAGCTCAGCTCCAGGAGTCCTGGCTGTGGCTCTCATCCACACTGTGTTTCATCACAAATGCCTGAAGGGCAGAGCATGCTGCAGGCACTCCTGATTCAACTTTTTCCTCTCCACAACCCCTTTTTTCTTGATTATTCTTAGCACTTAAGGGATGAAGAATAAAATTACTCTGCATCTCCCAAAAGATGATCTCAAATCATAGCAAACCTGTAAAGTCCACTTAACACTTACAGCTGGCAGGTGGGTAACAGCTATATATGAAGAGAGGGAAGCCCAGGGAGGTTTGGTGAGCTGCCCAGGACAAGGCTGTGAGCCAGTGTCAAAGTCAGGCTGGAAACTCACCTTCTCCTGCCCTCTTACACAGGGACATTTCATCATTTTGATCTTCTCTTTCCAACTTTTCGTGTTAAAACACACAGTACTCAAATTCCACTCCAAGGAAGAATTGAAAAGACCCTAAGACCCTAAAGACAACGAAGAGTTATCCCTTTCCACAGCTCTTCCCAGACTGATAACCTCAGCAAAAGAGCTCCAGCTGCTGATTTCAGTGTACTTCAGTGCAGATTTTTGCTTGCTTCTTTTCTTTTCTTTCATCCTCCCTCCCTCCAGGGCTGCATCCTCGGGAGCTGCTCCTCTGCTCTGCCCAAACCTGCTGCCTGCACCCCTGTCACCACTGATCAGTGCAAAACACCATGAACTGGACTTGAACCCAACGTGAACTCACCCAGGCTCCCCAGGCAAACGGTGTCAGCAAGATGTGTCCTCAATGTCCTGATGTAAAGTGTTGTGAGAACAGCTAGAGAAGGTGCTGAGAAACAAAACTGCAGGAGGCTGAACAGGGAACAGATCTCACACCGGAGGGTATTGGAGTCAGAGAACTAAACCCTCTCTTCCTTCTCTCTGTGGGCTGCACTACCTTAGCAACAGCTTTGTATTCAGAGGTATCTGGCCATGTTCAGATCTTCATGGGTGCTGAGGCACTGGCACAGGTTGCCCAGAGAACCTGTGGCTATTTCATCCCTGGAAGTGTTCCAGGCCAGGTTGGATGGGGCTTGGAGCAACCTGGGCTAGCAGAAGGTGTCCCTGCCCATGGCAGGAAAGTTGAAGCTAGATTTATCTTTAAGGTCCCTTCCACCTCAAACCATTGTATGATTCTATGAAGGCCATTCTGCTTATGTTGAAGCTGAAGGACCACTAGCCCTAACAACACCTGCTGATTGCTGGTGTTGCCCATGCAGCATCATGTCACCAACAGATTTGCTTCCTCTCTCTCCCAAGGCACAGAACAAGGGATGCAGCTGCCTGCCATCATCCCACTGACCACCAGCACTAAACTGTGACTGTAGAGAGCACTACCTGGTGAGGACCTGCTGGAGAGCACCTACAGCAACCCTTGAGAAACACCATTCTCACGTTGCTAACACCATCACATGTCAAGTTTTCTGCACCACTTCAGCCACCTGCCAAGGAGCAAAATCAATCCCTTGCCTTGCAGGCTGCTCTGGCACAAACCTGTGGCACTTGCAAAAAAACCACCAAGCAGTTGTGACCAAGTTAGCCATCAAAAGGCACATAAAACAACCTGAAACCACACAGGCCAAAGGGGTATTTTTGCCCCGTGATGTAGTTTCCAAGGTAAAATGAGGAACTGTCACTTCCACACTCACTTCGTTGCCACAGCTAAGACTCTGGGGGCAAAGAAAACAGGGTCACCACATTGATTGACTGATAAGAAGATGAGAAGAGCATGGCTTTGTGTCAGCTCAGGTGAGCTGTGTCTGGCGTGTGAAACTGGCAGGACACACCGAGTGCTCTGGTATAGCCCAGTCTTGTCACTGCCTGAGAGACTGCAGAGAGGGAGAGGATTTTCTACCAAGAAACTCTGATGTAGCCACCTTCTTTCCATCTGACTTCTGCCAGCAATGGGTTTGAGTTCCCCATTTGTTAAGCAGAGGGATATTGCCACTTCCCCACCTCAGACAAGCCCTTAGGGTGCTTAGTTAATGAAGGGTTTTTTTGTCTCCCAAAACATAGACTATACCAAGTACTCAAAATTACTTGTTCGGTTTCAGCCTTTGTTCTCAGAGAAGAAAAAAAACTCCTGCAAAGAGGATAATCAGATCCACTGGCTTGAAAAAAACCGTAGGTATGGACTTTGCTCCTGTCATCCTAAGTAAGGCATCATGAACTGGGAATTAAACCCACATCTATGCTTTATTTCATAGTTTCACCTAGAAAGAGGCATCAGACCTGCTTGTTTCCATGATGTTTCTAGGGTTGTGGTAAAGCCAGGTCTGGCCCCAGGGTTTGAGGAGAAACATGTGAATGTATCCAAAACCAAGCACAGCAACAGAGCCAATACCATGCCCAAACCCAAATGCATCACTGTGTGGTTTATTGTCTTCTTGTCTCACTGCAAGACAAAGCATTGGAGGCTGAAATTGGAGAAAAAAATGTACTTGTGCCTGCAATCCAGGACCAATCATACCTTCCTAGAGTTCAGGCAGGGCATCTCCTCCTACAGGAGCAGGTTTTCCTTCCTCTGAGCAGTTCAAGTGCATTGACCCCAATTGAGAGTTTTGGAGAAGATTCAAATACAGCTCCATCACTTTGCAGCTAAAATTGCAGGGTATATATCTCTGCTGCTCTGTATGTCAGCAGCTGAGCAGTCTGCTGGATTAACGTTGTAAGGTGTTAATTAAGGCAGAAGGGTGGATAGGTACTCACTGGAGATGATGTGTTCACCTTTTCTCAGAGGTTAAGGAGCTGCATAATTATCCAGAGCAACTGAGTGGTGAATCCTTGACATTCCACATCACCTCTGACCCCAGTGGCACAACCTCCTTTGGAAACAAAGAGTCTGAAGGGCATTCCTTCCAAAACAAACCCCACTGTCCACAGGCAGAGGGCTGGATGGAGAAGGTGACATATTCTATGTTTACCCTGCAGACTGGATTTTGAAGAGGGTTGCAAAAAAGAACTGTGCACCTCTTGTTGAGCTGTGTCAGTGTAAATGGTTTGGTTTGATTGCTCTAAGTTGTGATATTTCTTCCTGCAGCATTCAGCCATCATCCAAGCAAGACATTTCAATGACTTCAATTTAAATATT